ATTAAATTTTTATTAAATTCTTCAGTAAATTTAATCATTTGATTAATAAATATATATAATTTTAGCTATCATCGAGCAGTCGTTATATTTTTTTGGAAATTTATAAAAATCCAAATGTCCAAATTTTAATGTCCACATTAAACAAAATTTGCTCCTGGCAATTTCTAATACATTATTAATATTTATGAATATGTTTTACAAAAATTATTGCAAATATACATATACCGAAAGAATTGCTTATTATAGTTAACAATTAATTTTTACAAATACAAAACTTTTTTTTTTTATTTTTTTGTTATGAATTCAGCGCACTTTACTTGTAACTACACGACTATTTGCCATTTTTGTTGTTATAATTGCTAAACATTGACTTTAGGTTTGCTGCTGCTTTACAGCAATTATCTATATTGCCACTTTGCGCTGCAAGCAAGTATTACTTATAACTAAAACATATAAAAAACTACGTGCAACATTCCAAAACACACAATTACTTTCGTGAGTTGCATGCTGCACCCCCCCTAAACGCCAACTGCTGCACGCCCACGCACTCGCACCGAAACTTTCACACCTTGCTGCTTTTGTTGTTGTTGTTACAATGTAAATTGCGCTTAGCTTGCACCGTTGCTTCCACTTGCAACCGCAGCCAAACAATAGCTGCCACTTAGCCATGTTGCCCGCCCTGCGCCGCTGTTGTTGCTGTTGTCGCCTCGTCGGCTGTCCTTGCCGCTCGCTTCGCGGCTACGATTCGGTGTAAATGATGCAGCGTTTGCCTTTACCCACGGAGGCCAGCGCATTGCTGTTGGGGCACCAACTGACCGCGTTCACCGCCGAGCTGTGAAAGAAACCGGAACCATAACTGTTAAGTGTTTGGGCGAAGTGATTAAAACCCAGCACAAAAAAGGGAAGAAAAAAGAAAAACAAAAAAACCAATGCAAAAAAAGCAACAACAAATTATATGTATGGTGCAAATGCCAAATTAGGTGTGTTAGTGCGCGCGATTATAAAAATGTGCGAAAAATAAAAAAAAGTAAAAAAGATAATGAAAACATGAAAATAGTGTTTACTTAGAAAGCACATAAATGTGCAAATTTTAGTAACTTGACAAAAATACGTTTGATAAAAAGTTATTTGAATGAGTTGTGGTTAGTGAAGTTGCTCTGAACTAAGTTTGGAAAAAGTTATAACAAATATTGAACGAACTGGAAATAATTTGCTGATCAAGCTTCGGCAGAGAAGCATTCTAGCCCTTTATTAAAAATTAAATTAACAATTTTAGAAAATTTTTATAATGTACACGACGACTGTGGAGAATCGATTCGGCGTCGTTCACAGCAACTCAGACAGAAGCATGGAACAACTTTTCTCATTGTACGTCGAGATCTCAAATTGAAAGCGTACAAAATGAAACTTGATAAAGAACTAAAGCCACTTGACCTTCCCAATCGACATCACCTCGCTTTATGGATTTCGATCTCTTGAAAAATTCCAAGAAGATTCGACATTTTGGAACAAAATCTTGTTTAGCGATGATGCTCGTTTTTGGCTCAATGGGTATGTAAGCAAGCATAATTGCCACATTTGGACTAAGTGCAATCAGAAAAGGTTCAAGAGCTGCCATTTCATGCAGAGAAGCCAACAGTTTCGTATGGTTTGTGGGTAGTAGGAATCATCAGTCCATATTTCTTCAAAAATTAAGCCAGTGAGAAAGTAACCGCCAATGGCGACAACAAAAACCGTAATCGCGCCATGATAACCGACTATTTGAGTCCTGAAATTGTAGTAAGTGATCTCGGCGCCATTTTTTTTCAACAAGTCTTCGCCACTTCCCACATCTTCGCATCAATCAATGGATTTGAGAGAACATTTCGGTGAATTTCGGCAAGAATTTTTCCTGTGGGAATATACATATAAAGTCTATAATCTAAAGTCTATGCGGATAACCTCGCTCGCGATTGAAGCGTTAGAGCAGAACCTCACTCGTGTCACTCGCCAGTTACCAGTAGAAATGCTCGAACGAGTCATTGAAAATTAGACTAAACTGATGGATGAGCTGAGACGTAGCCGCCGCCAACATTTAAAAGAGATAACCTTTGAAAAAATATATGTAAGAGAATGTTCTTCGGAATGACAATAAACATTCCACATTAAATTTGAAGTATTTGTGTTTTTCCTTTAAAAAAGTGGGGAACCCCGAAATGGATCACCCTTTATATGAACTATATGACGTTATGACATGCACATGAAATCAGCTGTTAAAAACAAGGCATGCACCCACATACCAAAACGTTTAAAAAATAATTTAAAAAAACTAAGTGAAAAACTTACGTATGACCCTTGAGCGTCGCCTCCAATTCGCCCATGACATTCCAAATATAAACTAAACCATCGGCCGACCCGCAGGCCACCTTCGAACCGCACGTATTGAATGAGGCTCGCGCCCAATCACAGCTGAGTTTGAAATTTTCATGACTACATAAAAGACAAAAAAATAAAAATATATTAAATGAAATGGTTGCATTTTCCAAAGTGGATCTCATGCAACTCACAAAAACGACCCGATTATTTGATTTTTGCGTAAATCTAACAGTTTTATTGTATCATCTCTAATGGAACATATTAGGTAATAGCCATCTGAAATGTTATAAAAACAATAATAATCACACTTAAATATATTATATAAATAATATTACCCTTCGACATGTCAATCGACGTAATCTTCGCTGGCAACAGTATGTCGTCCGCCTGCTTCTCCGTTCTGATATCCCAGAAGCGCAGCTTCTTGTCATAGTGACCGCTGATGATCGTCGAGCCGAGACTGTCGGTGGTCACCAGATCGTTGCAACTGGAGCCCGCGAATTTCGTCTCGATGCAGGCTATGCTGCGCAGATCCCAAATCTTCAGCGTACGATCATGACTGCCGGTGACCACTTTGACGGGCTCGTGCAGATATTTGGCGGCCATCACTTTGCCGCTGTGACCGGTAAGTGTGTGCTGGTAGGAGATAACAAAAGAGTATAGTGAATAATTGGAATAAATTTCGTAAATTATATATGTTAATATAATGAGGAGGCGGTAGAATAGAGCACATTAGATACAATTTTTTTCTATTTCTTAAATTTTAGCTACGAGACTGTAAAATCGTTTGATGAAAATTAAGGTTTTGTGAGAAACAATATATTATTCTTTCTACACCATTCCTGGACCCTAAGCTCATATTGGGAATATCTTGAAATGGAGAATCTTCCTAAATGAGTTTCGCATGGCTGACGGATATTCTGGAATCTGGAGTGACGATGAGCTACTCAGCTCTTCTTATAGAAGGTTCTTTAGTAGACTTCTTGAAATGAAGAATAGAAGTTGGAAGGCGGTCCTGGCTGAGGACTTCTCTATTCCAAAACAATCTAAACTGGTTTTATATCCGAAGAGAAGTCTGTCAACTCGGCAGCAATCTATAAATGGTGTCTGCTGTTATAATAACTATAGAAAGTGATACACGAGAACATAAAGGCCGCAGTGTCTTTGACGATCTAAACTCTATTTAAGTAGTACTGATTATGTGAATCCGAATGTTATCCGCCTTCAATGGGATAGATTTTTTTTATTTTTTTATTTTGGGCGTTCGTATTATATATCAGTCAATCCGATATTCAAGCGGCTATACTGACTTTGAACTTGCTAATTGTGCACTTAAAACTAATCAAGAGCTGCATGATCTCATTAGTGACAACTTCAAGCTTCAAGCTTCTTCCATATTAGACTATGGACCTCAATAAGCGTTATTCAAAAAACTTTATTCAAATCTCGCGACTGCGGGATCCTTCTGGCCCAGATTGAACCGATGTTCTGACTAGACAGGAGTTGCAGCAAAATATTGGGTAGTCGAAAAAGTCTTTTCGTATTTAGTTAATAGATGTCGTTGCAGTCGTATATCTCCAGTGCTACCAAACACAAAAATAAGTTGAAGTTTGATTAGAAATACGAAACGACTTTCTCGACTACCAAATTATTTTACGAAGGCTCTCTGCTAGGGCTTCATTCAGGAGGAATAGGTGGAAGGTCAACCTGCCACTTTCTCCTCTACTTTTCGGTTTTTGACAGACTGAGATTAAAATAGTTGAATAGACACACCTTTGACGAACCGTGCGTGGTGACTTAATCAATTTGAGATAAGTTAAAAACGCTGCGTCGATCTATGATGATCTGGGCATCGACTTTCAGGAGTTTATAGGTAACAGAAATGATGAATATCAGTCCCAGTGAGATCCATAAATTTGGGGTCAAAACTATAACTTAATCTAACTTATCATACATCATCTATACACTTGATGGTCTGAATCGAAGGTCAACCGAATCCCTCAAATGTTTATTATCAAGTCGAGACATGGTCGGGTTATGATTGACTCCGAAACGTAAATACTTTGAACCAACTTAAAACGGTGAAAAATATTTCCTTTATATTAAAATGTGTTTTTGTTCAATTTTAAATATTTGTTATTGTTACATTCTCTATGCACCGCTATATCATCAAAAATGATCTAACTATGATACCGCGTTAGCTTACCGCGCATCAACGCGTCATGTGTTATCTAACAAGCCACAAATTACGTCAGCACGCATGGGTGCGTCGACGTTCGCCGAACTGAGTTCATTGCGTTTTATGGCAGGTGTTGCAATTAAAAATGTTGTTTGCATTTTACGAGTAATTGCGCGTTTTCCTCAGATAATAAACTTTTTTAACGAGACTCATTAGCTCGCTCAGAGTGCCGCCGTCGCCCGAGGTGCGTCTCGATAGGAAGCTGCGCGACTGTCAGACTAATCAAGAAAAAAGAGAGTGGTATATTTTATACGCACAAAAAAAATATAATAATAATAAAAGCATAGTGGAAATATAAAAGCAGAAAAGTTAAGAAAATAATAAACAAATTCTCACAAAAGCTTATGTAATAACTAGCCACAAGCTCGGCTTTTATGCCTGTCTGTACGAGACACAATTATTAATGTGCATGGAGTAGTTGAAATTGTTGCTGTTTCGCTTGTATTGCTTTGTTTGTTAGTGTTTTTGTATGGTTGGTGCAGCAAACGGAAGTCAAAGCCATAAACTCGGCTCAAATGAGCTTCTAGAAAGGAGTTGAAAGGAGCGTCGCGCGCAAGTAAGGCGAAAGAAAGAAGTGGCGGATATAAAATCTAAGCAGTTCATTTGTCTTGTGTGTGTGCGTTTATGTGTTTGTGCGCAAGTGTAAAAGTTTGTGACGGTCCCACTGCTGACTCACATCTGTCTCTTTCATATATTTTTATTTATTTATGCTTTGAATTCAGACAAGTTTTACGGTGCAACTATTTGGTTCTTTTATTTTTTATTATTTTTTGTTTTTAGCTGTGAATTATATTTTATTTTTTAATTTGTTTATAGCCATTGTTCTCACGAACTTGCGGTCATGCGTTGAAGTGTTTGTAGGCAACAAAAAGTAAATAAATAAAAATATAAAAAATTTTCAGGTTTCTGATGTTAAAGACGCTTTTTACCAATTATCTTAGACAAGGAAATAATTTTCCGAACAAAAAAAAACTAATATCAAAGCTAGAGTACCTTTCCCTGCTAGCTCATCAGTCTAACAGTTACCTGTTATTTCCCTGTGGCCTGGCGCCCTTTAAAGCCTTATCCCAAAGTGTCTCGCTGCCATTGATAACGGGGTTATTACGGGGCATTTAATGAGTTCAAGGCACAATTAATGAGTTCAAGGCTAGTATCGTCGCAATAATCACAGAGCACATGGTCTATTCTCTGAATGGCACTGCACTCTGGAGCAGTATGTTTACCGCTACCTTAATGGCTGCAACCTTGGCTTAGAAAAGTCTCGGTCAGAAAGTCTGAAACTGGAGTTAATAGTGAGCTTCTGACAGCAAACCCCACCAACCTTCCTTTGACACATCCATAAGGAAGCTCATTGCCCATCTCCTTCAACGGCTTTTCACATCGATAACTTTATCGCCAGTGTGTGGGCGGAAAGGTCCGCCGCTATAAGGTGAAAACATGTGTTCATATTCTCTATGTCTGATAGAAACTTTCGCGAGCGTAAACCTTTCCTGGTCTCTTCTAGAGTTCTCAACCACACAAAAAACCATAGAATGTAATGGGCTTGACTATAGTGCCGTAGGGCCAGATTGCCGTTTTCGCTGAGAGACTTCATTTTTTGCCAATGGCTTCTCTGTATCAGTATAGGGAAATCGAGGCAGATGCTACCGTTTTGCGGCAGTGGTGCCTCAGGGATCTTGTATCTTTTGGTAAACAAAACAATCTGAGTTTCTTGAGTTTCAGTTAAGTAGATATTTCAATATCTCTGCCGGTTGCGACAAAAATTTGGTCTTCAAAGTGTTCTTTTATTGAAATATATTTTTTGCAGCTAATCATTTAAGCTGGTAATGGGGGCGATGAATGAAGTCAACATTCAAGTCAGCATTGATTCATAAAGAAGTGGTTGGGAGCTAGTTGACTTTTGTTGTGTGTTTTCATTACAAAAGCAATCGTTTTTTTGTATGCATTTTCGCAAGTAACACAGGTACTTTTTTATTATTAGCAGACACTTTTTGATTTTTTTTTTTTTTCACTTCAAGCTGCACAACAAAACTCGAAACACTGGTACCGAGACCTTTTAAACCACGAGGTATTTCTAATTATTTTGCAAACCTCCCACCAAGACAGTAAAAGCCAGAGGAGAAGCTTTGCTTAGACAAGTTAGAACATAAAACTTATTGTTTCAGTTTTAGTTCCATGCAAATAAGCCACAATCGCGAGCGTCTGCTTTGAATTTCTTGCAACTTTTATGCACACACACAAACTCTTTTAACTGTAAATGCCAGGAAACATGCGGCTGAGTTCTTTGCACCGCCTTCTGTGCGCTAATACTTGTATGTAAGTCGGCATTAGCTTTCCGCTTGTTTGCCATTTCAGTTTGCTGTCAAATGTTTGACTTAAACTGCAACTGCGCCAACTGCACTGGCATTCAAATGGGCGCTCATAAATTTCAGCAAATCATTTAAGCTTAAACCAGCAAATTAAACGGGAGCAACAGTTGAGGCGGCGGCAGCAGCGACTCAAGGAACCGCAATAAAAACAGCAAACTATGCAGTTAACTTTAGCGGCCGTAAATGTCCTGCCCGCGGCCACAGGCAGCTGCTGCTGCCACACGAGTGCGTACGCCGCGGCGAGCGCCGGACGCGCCGACTGCCCACAACTCACATTCGGCTTGACTGGCTGTCACTTCCTGCTACCAATTGCCGGTTGAGTGCCATTGCTGTGGCAATTGCTGTTGTTGTTGTTGGTATTGTTGTTGCTGCTGCTGCTGCGCTTTCGCTGTTCGTAGTGTCATTGCTATTAGCAGGCGCATTGTTGCTGGCGGATAAACAATTTATTTCTTCCTTATGCTGCCACACACACACAAGCATACTGGCGGTGGTGTACTCCCACCGTCCAATAACAGCAACAACAACAAGCATAGTAATGTATGCTGATCTGTTAACATTTGCACTTTACGGTTTGCTGTGTTTTTTGTTCTTTTTTTTTTTTTGCAGCATTCTGTTGTTGCCCTAAAGGCTGCGCAATAAAATTTACACTGCACATAAATTAAATGGAGAAAATTGATCCCAAGTAACCACAGGCACACATACATATATATACTATATATTTATATTAGCACACACATTGAAATTCCGCAGCACACATTTAGCTTTCCTCGCAGCTGAGAAATATTATGCCGATACCGCTGTGGCATGCCACTCGCTCCTCGCGCGCTGCTACCTGGTTCCAAGCGTTGTAGCGCACGCGTCGTTGCTGCGTTTGCCGCTCCAGCGACTGACCCGATTTCCGCATGTAACTTCGTTTAACTGTACTTGTAATGTGTCCGCTTGGAATTTAATGCTGCCATATCCGCCTCCTAAAAGCCTGCATTCCAGCACACCAAAAGGCAAAACTAATTCGTTGATTATATTTAGTG